TTCACCTCTCAGGGAACCAACTGATATTATTACTACCAAGATCCTATCATCTATCACATTCTTCTAATTTGTTGTTGTTGTTAATCCTCACCTGAGGATATTTTCCCATTGACTTTTAGAGAGAATGGAAGGGAGACAGAAAGAAAAATCTGTAATAATAAAAGGGTAATATGCAAATCGACCGAACGACCCAACAGCAGAAGGACCATCCGGATGACCTTCAACAACCATGCTGGTGCCAAGCCAGCCAAAGCGGGTGTGATGCGATTCGTCAGGGGGCTCCTGCCATCACCCCATGATCACCCTGCAGAGGGAGGTCCGCGCCACCCTCAGGGGGCGATCAATGGGGGTTCCATGACCAATCGCCCCAAAAAGGGAGGCCCAGGCCACTGGCCACTGACGCTGTGGAAGGTGTGAGGGGCCGGCCAGCAATTGCCCCCCAGAGGGATGCCCCGGCCAGACAAGTGATTGCCTGTCACCCACAAAGGGAAGCAACCAGGTGAGGGGGGGAGGGGGGGAACAGTGCCACAGAGATGGCAAGCAGTGGCAGTGGCAGGGTCGGGGCCAGCTGCCAGCAGCCGGGGGGGCAAGGAATGCCCTGCTAGCCGATTGCCAGCCAGGCCTAGGCTGAGGGACACCGCCCGCCCTCCCCCAACCCCCACAGCCCCCGTGCACACATTCGGTGCACCAGACCTCTAGTATAGATATGAGAGAGACAAATTTGGCTGTCTCCTGCTTGTGCCCAACCTGGGATCAAACCTGCAACTGAGGTATGTGTCCTTCAATCCACAGGCAGTGCTCTGTCCCCTGGGCAAAGCTGGCTAGGGCCTGTTCTCCTAATGTTTGATCCTACACCAAAAGCATTGGGTTTGTAACTACCAGTACCTAACTGATCTCTCTCTTAAAAGCCAAGCAGCGTGTTGTTGGCTTTTCTGGGATAGAACTAAACTAAACCACCACTGAGGCCCAGGCCCACCTGGTGATCCAGCCTCCATGGGGCTGAGCCACAGGGGACAGAGCAGCAGGATCTAAGGACTAAGCCAAGTTTTACCCAAATTCTACAGACTCTGCCCCTTAGCGGCTCTCTTCTCCCGGGAAACTGCCACGCACTCAGGCCTGCGTGCCCGTCAGAGCGGTGCGTCTTTGAGAGAAAACTTTTTTTTCTCAGTTGTCTACTGGTCTTTCTCCTTGTCAGTGGGAAGGTCAGTGTGGGGTTCTGCTGCTTCTGGCCGAGAGTCTGAACTCAGACCACCATCCCTGTCTGCAACAGCAAACTAACACATGGTTTTGGGAGAAGATTCCATTCACTCGACGGTGTGGATACAATTACACAACATTGGAACGGAATGAACGTCCATGAAAACTCAGCATTATGAATACGTTTAAGGAAGCAGCTGACCTGTGGGACTTTAGGGGAAATGGGCTTATAAGAGCACAGGCACAGCATCAGGCACAAGCCTCCGTCCCCAGCAGGGTGGCTCCTCTCTCTGCTGCCGCCCGCTTAGCCTCTCCCACCAAACAGCTCCATTGCTCGTAAGTTCTTCTCTGTCTTCCTTACGTGGCAATGACTTGGAGGTTAAAGATAACTGCTGTGTGGCCTGGAAGCCGTTAGTTCACCTGCGGGGGCCCTCAGTAACGACAGGGTGGACCCAGGCAGCTCATTCCACTCACTCCTAGGCCACCCTGCCACACGCATGCGTGGGAAGAGCAGCTGCGGTCGGGCGCTCCCTCCCTGAAGGAGTTCCACACGGGAGCTGCATCTGAAATCTCCTCCGGGCTGTTCTGCTGAATTTATCAAGACCGGAAGGAAAGGAGCAGCTCAGATTCCATCAGACAAAGAAAGACCCCCCTGCAGCTCACTAACCCGTTCTCAGTCCTCTATGACACAAAGAAATTAAATAACACAGAATGCAGAAGGAAGAACTACAAAACCACACCGGAGAGCAGAGTGGTGTGACTAGTGTCTCCTCATGGCATGAGCCTCACAACCATGCCCTACTCTCTCCAGCTTCCTTTTCTGTAGACATCTTTCCAGCTCAAAACCAGACACTGACCTGGGATGGAATTTACTTTGCTAAAACAGGAAGGTCAAGTCCTCTTCCCGAACAGCCTCTCCAGGATCCCACACACCAGCTGCTCCATAAAACCTGACTTCACCCCCCACCACCACCCTCTCCGCACTACATGCTCCCTGCTTTGGAGGGGAGACACTCACAGCTCGCTTTTCTTTCCAAATCACGTGGAACTTTTAAAAAAACACTGCAGTCACCTGTGCCTGGTGCTCCCGCTCACTGCTCACGGGGAACTGCTGGTGCCAGAGCTGCCTCCGCAGGCTGCTCTGTCATCGGTGCTGCCCAAACTCTCTGGGCCTATAACCTGTCCTCTCCAGATCGTAAATGACATAATTTACACGCTAAAAGGCCAAGTTCCTATGCCTAATAAGCCAGAGGCCTGCCCTGGGTCTCGGAGGGTTCTATAGACAGCTTTTACATGGGTTCTCCTTTAAGAGAAATTGCTGGAAAGGACATTAACCATTTCAGTTCACTCTTTACTGTGAGTTTCCAAGCCCAGCAACTCGGTGAGAGAAAGGCAGCCCATGGCTTCACATTCGCAAAGACAAGACGGAACTGAGCATAAAGAATTAAAATAGCAAAATATCCAAATGGCACAAAGTAATGATGGAGTGAGGTTCACCCTTCCCGTCCCTCCACAACACTGCCTGGCGGAGCCAAGCCACAAATGCCAAGGACTGGCGCCGCTGACGGCAGGGACCCAGGCACAAGACCCACCTTACGCGCTGCAACATCCGCACACCTGTCTCTAATGACATAACTGATGGGAAGACATTTTACATGTGTGTGTAGTCCTGGCTCCGAAGACATGTGTTGTGTTAATGGCACCGGGCACTCTGAGCTTCGATGTCTCACCTGTGACGTGGAGACACAGGGCTGGCTGACATCAGCGTGGCATCCTGGAGCCCACAGCCACGTGTCTCGGACCTCTGTGCAGCAAGGCAACGGTCACACCACGATGAGGGGTGGCATTGCAGCTCCTCCGCTGCCACACAGCGGCTGCAGGCTTCCCGTGCACGAGCCGGCACCTCGCCGCGTGGCTCTAAGGCACAGTCTGTCCCCAAGGACAAGGGGGCTGTCTAGGGCGGGGCCCGCGGAGCCGTGACGGCGGAGGCAATGCACCACCTGCCTGGATCCTGAACCCGCCCAAAGCCGTGCGCGTCTGAGGCAGGTGTGAGACGGGACGAGGACGATGCAGTGAGCTGAGCTGTGTGAGGTTACGCTCCTTAGAGGGCGGCCACATGGCTGTGCGTATGGAGGAGAAGATCCCTTTCTTAGGAGACACACATGTGATTGGGGGTCGTGTCAGAATGCCTGTAATTTACTCTCAAAGCAGGGGAAGACAAAGCAAATGTGGAGAAATGTTTACCAGAGTGAGGTCCAGGCGGAGGGCCTGAGGAAACTCCCTCCACTTGTCTTCCCACTGTTCTATCCATTTGACATTTTAAAAACAAAAACTGGAGGACCGGAAAAAAGAAGGAATCAGTGACCATGTCAACCTGTTGAGGCGTCAGGTGAAGGGAACAGACATGACCTCTGGCCTTGGCAAGAACTTAGCCAGCAGTGTCCCCTTTGCAGGAGCCTTCAGGGAATGAAGGGCAAACGCAGAGCGGAGTGGGCTGGGCAGGAGGCAGCAAAGGGGCGATGCAAGCGGCTCCTGAGGCTCCGCTGTGCTGCGCGGAGGAGAGAGGCCAGCGCAGCGACCCCCCCAGAGCCGAGCAATGGCTGAGGGGGCGCACAGGGCAGCACGCGGGGCCCACAGGAAGGAGTCTCCGCAGAGGATGGAGGGGATGACAACAGCCTTTAACTGGAGACAGCTGGCACTGCCCGACGCGTCGTCACCACTGAACTCTCACAGCAGCTGAGGCGGGCTGCTCATACCTCCTCTGCAGACAGGGAGCTGGCTCCCACCAGCAGCAGGAGACTGCGGTGCAGACAGGGCGGGGGAGATGAGGGAGCAGGAGGGGATTCATGGGCAGGACTGGGTGCTGCTTGAGTTCAAGGTCACAGACCAGAAGTGAGTCTAGCAACTTCCTACCACAGAAAGGACTGTGGGATTTTACAGGCAAGTGGGACCTAAGAGAAAAAGAGCTGGTTCAAGGTCACAGACCCCTAACTGCCCTCCCCTGCAGGCTTGATCGCCCCCAACTGCCCAACCCTACAGGCCTGGTCGCCCCCAACTTCCCTCCTCTGCCAGCCTGATCACCGTAACTTCCCTTCCTTGCAGGCCATCTTGCATCCACATGGGGGCAGCCATCTTTGACCACATGGGGGGCAGTCATCTTGTGTATTGGAGTGACAGTCAATTTGCATATTACTCTTTTATTATATAGGATAGAGACCTGGTGCATGGGTGGGGGCCGGCTGATTTGCCCTGAAGGGTGTCCTGGATCAGGGTGGGGCATGGGGCGTGGGGCGGCCTGGGCAAGGGCCTATGGTGATTTGCAGGCTGCCCACGCCCCCTGACAACCCAAGAAGAGGCCCTGGTATCTGGAATTTATTTATCTTCTATAATTGAAACTTTGTAGCCTGGAGTGAAGACCTTGGCCAGCCAGGGTGTGCGGCAAACTTGGCTTCCTCCATTGCCAGGGAAACCCAAGCCTCCTGTTCACTCTGTGGCCGCAGCCATCTTTGTTGGGTTCATTTGCATACTCACTGCTGATTGGTTTGTAGGTGTGGCTTCTGGGCATAGTAGAGTGGTGGTTAATTTGCATACTACTCTTTTATTATATAGGAGATACACATACACACACACACACACACACACTCACTCACTTAGTGGCCAGATTATTATTCATTCAGGAATCATAATAATCTGGCCACTCAGTGTATACCCAACCAACTGAACCTTTTACATTTCTTTTAATTAATTCATGGAATCGCAGTTAAACAAAGCAATCTCGTTTATAAACCAAAAGGTCACCTTACCGTTGATGTTTATTGCTGGCAATACAATGGACATCTTTGGTCTGCTGGTCTTGTTATGGGTGGTCGCTGGTAGCAGCAGGTGATCCTGAGATTATCAGAGAACAATCTGTTAAATGTAACAATTGGCTTAACTCGGGAACAGATCATAGCCATCATGTCTAAGACACCAATGTTCAGTGGCATCATAAAAAATTGCAATTTTTAGTTGAATTTGGCCAAGAGTTATCTACTCAACAGTCATTTTTAAACTTTTTTTAAAGAAGAGAAATATTTTCCAAAAAAAACTACTGTTCCCAAATTAACACTATACACAAGAGACAGAAGCAGGGGGGGGGCCTGGCTACATAGCTTGGCCTCATCTGTCCCTCTAAAGTGGCCACAGCTGTACACATTTTCCATAAAGTCCATATGGCCTACAAATGCATAATTCTTGCTCTTAAAAAGCATAGTTTAGTAGGAGAATTTACAAAATTAAGGACGCATGTTGAGCCCAATTAAATGTAATCCTACCAGCTTCTGACAATCCCCATCTAGACTGGCAGCTGAGGGTTCTGGTTCCCAACCACACAGATATGGGAAGTGAGAGCAGGCCAAGTGGAGTGTGACTTCTAAAGGGGAAAAGGTATGTACCTCTGTCAGTATTCCAAGGTTGATTATGACTTACTAGAGGCCCGGTGCACAAATTTGTGCACTGGTGGGGTACCTCGACCTGGCCTGCAGGGATCAGGCTGAAACCGGTAGTCCAACATCCCCCGAGGGGTCCCAGATTGCGAAAGGGCGCAGGCCAGGCAGAGGGTCCCACCGGTGCACAAATCCATGCACCATGCCCCTAGTATGCATATAAGATCTTTGATTAATCTCTTCCCACCCTCCATCCTTCCCCCTTCTCTCTGAGATTCATCTGTCTATTCCATGTTTCCATGCCTGTTCGTTGAGCATCTGCTCCCTGGTGGTCAGTGCATGTCATAGCTACCAGTTGAATGGTCCAACCATTGGACTGTTGCTTAGGCTTTTATATATGCATGGGGAGGAGGTGTGTCCCTCAGCCCAGCATGCACCCTCTCCAATCTGGGACCCCTCGAGGATGACATACATATGTCATGTATGTGTGTACATGTGTCTATGTTATTTTATAAGAGCTATAATAAAATATTACATAAACTGTTATATCCCTCTCATAATCCAGAACTGCTGGCTCCCAACTGCTCACCTTCCTGATTGCCCCTAACCACTTCTGCCTGCCAGCCTGATAACCCCCTAACCACTCCCCTGACAGCCTGTTTGCCCATAACTGCTCTCCCCTGCAGGCCTGGTCACCCCTAACTGCCCTCCCCTACAGGTCTGGTCCCCCCTCAACTACTCTCCCCTGCAGGCTTGGTCACCCCCAACTGCCCTTCCATTCAGTTCCGGTCACCCAGAACTTCCTTTGCTGGCCTGGTCACCCCTAATGCCCTCCCCTGAAAGCTTGATCGCCCTCAACTGCTCTCCCTTGCAGGCCTGGTCCCTCCCAACTGCCCTCCCCTGCTGGCCAACTTGTGGAAGCCATCTAGTGTCCACATGGGGGCAGCCATCTTGTGTTGGAGTGATAGTCAATTTGCATATTACTCTTTTATTAGATAGGATAGACCTGATGCACGGGTGGGGGCCAGCTGGTTTGCCCTGAAGAGTGTCCCAGCTCAGGGTGAGGGTTTCCTTGGGGTGTGAAGTGACCGGGGTGAGGGGCCTATAGTGGTTTGCAGGCCAGACACGACCCCTGGCGACCCAAGAGGAGGCCCTGGTATCTGGGATTTATTTATCTTCTATAATTGAAACTTCGTAGCCTTCAGCAGAGCCAAGCCTCCTGCTTGCTCTGTGGCCGCAGCCATTTTTGTTGGAATTTATCTTCTATAATTGAAACTTTGTAACCTCAAGTGGAGGCCTGGGCTGGCCAGTGTGTGTGGAAAGCTTGGCTTCCTCCATTGCCAGGAAAACCCAAGCCTCTTGTTTGCTCCATGGTGGCAGCCATCTTGGTTGGGTTAATTTGCATTTCCTCTCCTGATTGGCTGGTGGGTGTGACTTGTGGGTGTGGCAGAGTAATGGTTAATTTGCATATTACAATACTATTTTATTAGATAGAATAGATAGATGACTTGGATATTAACTACTGTTTTCAATAATTCCCTTTTCCTAGCAAAAGCAGGAATTGTAACAGAACAAAGAAAAAGACAAAAATGTACATTTGTGTTTCCATTTGAGGGAGCAAGCTAATCAGAGATGAAGCAGAGTGTGAGTTTAACTCTGGCTTTCTTGTTACTTTGTTCATCTGTCTGATCATTCACTCAACATACTCCTCTAAGAGAGAGCTCATCAAAAAGCCACCGAGAGCGGCAAAATTCAATGCAACTTAGTTGGCAGTTAATGTGATTATGAAATGTAATTGCTAGCAAAGCTAAGAAAAAATCTAGAATGTGAACAAACTGAAATTAATGTGATGTGCGCAGAACAATACGGAAAACATTTCCAGTAACTGCATGCTTTTCTAACTCGGGCAACATTCCCCAGAGAACATGTTCTTTAAAGGGGAGGAGTCCCGCGGCCCTAGAATCCCAGCGCTGCAGAAAGTTTTTTTAAACACATTGTTAGACACAAAGATCACAAGTTCTGAGAGTCAGATAACATATTATAGCCAAGAAAAAACAAAATTTGCTGATCTTCATGCCATGAAACTTACAAATACTATAATTAAAATATTGCTTCAGGGTCCCCCAAAGTAAGTCTATGATAAAAATAAACACATTCAGATTCCACTGGTCACGGGTTAAGGTCAGGCTCAGACCTAAGTCTGGATTTCCTGCTGCAATCTGGATACCACCTAAACTTTGTTTTTAAATTTCCTTTCCTGAAGGTAATATCTCCTACTTTCTCTCTTCATTGAATTTCAAACAAAGTAGTTACTTTTGAAGCAGAAAGCCAAAAGAGCACATCACTTAGGAAAAAGAAGAGTCAGTCACCTATGAATGCACAGAAGTCCTCACACCTCCCTGCCTGCCCTTGAATTCTGAAAGCCCGCGGACGGGGGGAAGCCTGCGAGCAGTGCTCCTTCCCACGAGGCCTCACTACACTGCAGGGGACAGAGCTGGCGCGCCATACGGTAAAGTAGCTCATACACACGAATGCACACACACGTGTGCACACATGCGGACACACACCTGGACAGCACAGCTGTTTTATTGAATGCCCACGTTCACTTCCTCCAATTAAAGTTCTTTGCCACAACCATGAATCTTGAGTCCTTTTCCCCTTCACTCTGTTTACCTCACTCCTTTTCAGCAAGTCACTGCCCCATCCCATCAGCGGCATCTTCGGAAACAAAGGATTTCTGCCCACTCATTAAAGAACTGGTGCCCACAGGGACCTGTCTCCTCAGCATGGCACCGCAGAGCCTGTTTCTGCCGAAGCGTGCACGTCCAGGCTTCCATGCTGTTGGGGAAACAATGCTCACGGTGCCAGAACCTGCCATTTGTGCCCCAATCGGCTCTCCGTTCCAGGTTTAGTTGGGCACAAAGCCACCCAGAACCCAGACCACATTCCCAGCCTCCTTTGCGGCCACACACTCGATTCTGGCCAATGACTGCGGATTATGGAGGCACCCCACCCCACTTCTGCAGCTGAAGTGCAGGCACTGCGGCTGGGGCTGGGCAGCCCTCTCAGATCATGAGGGGGGCCACGTGGCAGAAGGAACTACACATCCTGACAATCGAAGCTGTCACCAGATCTCTGGAACTGACATAATGAGAGAGAAGTAAAATTATAATTTGTCTAAGACACTATTATTTTGGATTTTCTGTTACTCATAGCTAAATCTACAGCTAATTGTTAGTTGTATTAAAAATTTGCAAAACAGCACTATAGATATTTAGTCAAGAGGGGTTTCAATTAGAGTTCATCGGAGACAGCATTCCTCTTTCTTAACTGCATAAAAAAAATTATTATTTAGCTTTCTTGATATTCTACTCCCTCTAGTTTTTACTTATTTATTAAAGAACTTGCAGAGGAAATTAAATCCTGGAAAAGAAGAAATACAATTTGATGAATTTGAACGAAACTCTTAGCTTCCTATTAAGTCAGTTAAAATAATCCAGCTGCAATAAAGATGAAGCTACTTAAAAATAAAAAGACAAGAGAAAAGAGGTTGCCATGGAGATAAATATGGTACATTCTGGCACTGACACTCTGAGCTATGTCACTCAGAAGGTGTTAAGACATCTTAGCAGACTCCACAGAGCCTTGGCTGCCTGAGGGCTGGGACCTCTGCAGGGAGCGCCATGTGGACACAATCAAGGCTGTCCCTCAGCCCTGGAGCCAGAGAGGCCTGGTGGGAAACACCCACGCATTCCACCATGGGAACAGAGTATCAGCTTTCCAACATTAGGCAATGCTGTGCCTGAGAAAATATGCTATTTTCCTACAACCCTCCCAGTTCCCTCTTGCAGGCACGCGGTTAGAAAAAGGCACACTGTTAGCGCCTAACCGCTTCCCAGGCAGCGCTTCCTGGTTTTGGAGACTAACTTACAAAAGAGCAGAACACACCTGCTCAGCTGGAGGTCAGGAAGGGAATGCTCTAGAAAACTGAGGCCCAGGAAGTGCTGTGAAGTGTGGGTCCTGCATGTTGGGTAGAGGAGAAACCGGCCCCATTTAGGGGGACTTGCTAGAATAAATGGCCCTTTCGCCCCTAAAACCCACTGACCGACGCCCGCAGCACACTGTGCAGCTCATGACTAGATCTGTGTGATTTCCAAAACTATTGTTATTTGTATTTGTTAGTGTAATTGTGTAATTTAATAAAATATTACATAAACTGTTAAAATACAGTGTGAAAGACACCAAGATTTAATAAAAGTGAACAGTTAACATTTTTCTTTCACTGCAAGACTGGGAACCAAATCTTAGTGATGTGCACTTAGAGTGCCCCTTCCTCCGTCTTCACTAGAGAATGTGATCCCTTCCTTTCCAAAGCAACTCTGACCTTTTTGTTTCACACAGAGAAACCGGGAGGACTGTAAAATTTCCCTAAAGAACGTACTAGGAAAGGCTGGTCTTGACAAG